GACCATGAGCTTTTGTATCAGCTCAAGGAATATGGTTTGTACTTTTAGCAATGAGTAAGTGTTCTTATTCCAAACATAGGGACAAAATAACATCTAATAGCTAACTAGGTAGCTCTCAGTTTTTTGTGTGGGTTTTTTTTTTGGCAGTACTGGGGATTGAACCCAGGGCCTTCATATTGGACCACAATCCCAGCCTTTTTAAAATTTTTAAGACAGGGTCTTGCTAAGTCACTAAGTTGCCCAGGCTGGGCTTGAACTTGCAGTCCTCCTGCATCAGCCTCCTTGAGTGCTGGAATTACAGGTGTGCACTACCATACCTGGCTGATTTTTAAATTTTTAAAGCTTTATTGAGTAAAAATTGCATGCATTCAAGGTATACAATGTAATGCAATGGTATTTGTATACATTGTGAAATAATTATCACAATCAAGCTAATGAATGTATCTATCACAGTTATTTTTTCATGGTGAGAATACTTAAGATCTACTCTCTCAGCACATTTCAAGTATAATGTCACATACAGTATATGCAGTCTCCAAAATGTATACATCTTGTAACTGCAAGTTTGTAGTTGGCAAACTTTGACCACTATCTTCCCCTTGCTCAATCCCCCAGCCAGTAATTACATTTCTACTCCATTTCTCTTGTGTAGTATTTCTTTTTCTGTGCCCAGCTTATTTCACACAGAATAATGCTTTCCATGCTTATCCATGTTGCTGCAAATGCCAGGATTTCCTTCTTTTTAAAAGGCTAAATAACATTCTGTTGTCTATACTGTACACAATTTTTTATCCATCTACCAATGGACACTTAGGTTGTTGTTCCATATTCTGGCCATTGTGGATAATACTGTAATGAACATGAGTGTACAGATATCTCTTCAAGACAATGATTTGATTTCACTTAGATGAATAACCGAAGCTGGATTTCTGGATCATATGGTAGTTCTATTTTTAATTTGAGAAATTGCAATACTGTACTAATTTGTATTCCTGCCAACAATGAACAAGGTTCCCTTTCTCCATTTCCTCCTCAACATTTATTTTTTAGTAACTGTGATTCTTTTTTTTTTAAGACAGGGTCTCACTATGTAGTTCAGGCTGGTCTTAAACTTGTGGTGATGCTTCTGCCTCAGCCTCCCAAGTCCTCGGATTACAGGTGTGTGCCACCATGCCTGACTGGTAACCATGATTCTAACATGTGAGGTAGTTTAGATTTTCACTGATGATGAATGATTGTGAATACTTTTGCATGTATACCTGTTGGCCATCTATATGTCTTCCTTGGAAAATATATCTATTTAAGTCTTTTTAAATTGAGTTACTTGCTTTTTCCTACTGAGTTATGTAAGTTCCTTACATATTTTTGGTATTAGTCCTTTATCCAGGCATATGGGTTGCAAATATTTTCTCATTCTGTCATTGTATTTCATTTTGTTATTTCCTTTTTGTACAGATACTTTTTAGTTTAATATAGTTTTTTTATTTTGTTTTTGCTTTTGTTTTGTTTTTTTTTTTTTGGTTTTTTTTTTTTTTTTTTGGTTTTTTGAGACAGGGTCTCACTATGTAGTTGAGACTGACCTGGAACTCACTATGTAGCGCAGGCCGGTCTCCAACTCACAGCGATCTTCCTGCCTCAGCCTCCCGAGTGCTGGGATTATAGGCATGCGCCACCATGCCCGGCCTTGTATTTGCTTTTGATGTCATATAAAAAAATCATTATTGAAACCAATGCAATGGAGCTTTCCCATGTTGTCTTCCAGGAATCAGATGGTTCCAGGGCTTACATTTAAATTTTTAATCCATTCTCAGTTGATTTCCCCACTGTGCATTCTTCACACCTTTGTTGAATAGAAGTTGACCATATACATGTGAGTTTTTTCTGAACTTTCTATTCTGTTCTCTTGCCTATTATTATGGTAACACCACACTACTTCGATTAGCTTGGAAATATAACTTAAAATCAGGTAGTATAATGCCTCCTTCTTTGCTGCTCTTATTCAAGATTGCTTTCATTAGTCCAAATCTTTGATATAGTTCCATACGAATTTTAGGATTCCTTTTTATTTCTATGAGAAATGCCATTGAAAATTTTCTTTTTTTTCATGGAAATTTTGATAGAGACTGAATTAAATGCATAGACTATTTTGGGTAATGTGGACATTTTAACCATATTGATTCTGATGGGCAGTCTTTAAATGGCTTCATGTGGACTCAGCTTCCTCTCAAAGGAGGCATCTTCTTGGCTGGCTCCTCCTGAGGCGCCAGATCAGAGCAGTTGGCAGTTGTCTGGTGAAGTAACAGTGGGACTTGCTGCAAGCATGGCCCACTTTGCTCAGGTGAAAAGGAAAATGACCAGAGAGATGAGCAGGCGCACTCCTTGCTAAAGGCAATGTGTCCACATGATAGGACATTTAACATACTTGGAGAAAAGACTCAATGAAGGTAAATGCTAAATGCACCTACTGGCCCCAGGATTTAGTTCCAGATCATGTTTTAGTTATCTGAGGGCCCTGCACAGAATTTTTAAGACTTGGAAGAGAACAGAAGAGCTGTCCCAGGATTTCTCTGTGACCTCTACAATGTTTGAAAGGTCCTCAGGAGCAGAACAGAAAGTTCTGTGAACAGTGGCCCAAGACAGATTTCAGACACTGGCTCTTCTATTTCTTCCTGTGTCACCATGGGCATATAGTAGCTCTGGAAGTTCTTCTGTCTACGGGTGTGGTCGAGCACATCCTTGGTCTTCAGTCAGCATCTGCTCCCTCTCTGCTTGAGGCTGAGCATTGTGAGCTGTAGAGAGAGAAGGCTGCAAGGCTGATCCAAGACTAAGGCTTCTTCATTACCCTTACCACAGGGGGTTAAGCTGCAGCTCTAGGAGCCCCAGCATCTTCTTGAATATTCCAATAAATTATTCTGTGGCAAACAAAGCAGAGAAGTTCATCTGGAAGCCCAAAATCATGTAAAATATCCATAGTTAAATGAGAGTAGAAACGGTCTGGGGATTTAACTCAGTGTTTGCACCACCTGCCTCACAAGCACAAGGACCCAAGTTCAATCCTCAGTACCAAAAAAAAGAGAGAGAAGAAAGTAATACTATTTTCCTTTAATACACAAGGAAGCTGCTGCTCACAGATGTGAAGTGACTCATCCACGTCCATCTTACTCTGCTTTATACTGGAAGCTTCTACCTACCCACCTACCACCACCTCCTCACTTCCCTACAAAAATTATCTGCTCTCAGGCTCTGTCTTCTGTTCTCTTGAAGGTCCCAGGAAAGGTGGAACACAAGCACTGAGAAGGAAGCAACAAAAGTAGGCAGGGGAAGTATGGAACTCTACACGGCCCATTCTCCAGGCTGGTGTCAGAGGGTCTCCTTCCTAAGCCTGACTCACACCTCTCTCAAGTCACGTTCCACACAGAGGTGCTGAATAAAGTCCACAGTCACTTGAGGCTATCTATTTCTACACCAGCCACAGCCTCTCCTTGCACCAGGCATCCGTAGAAGCCCGCAGACCCTCCCCATGCTGCTCCCCAGGCCTGCAGTCTCTGCTTTGGCTCACCATCTCCCTCACCCTTCGAGCCTTGGTTCCTTCCCACCTACTGCAGACAACTGTTACTCATCCACTGACCAGACCCATAAGCTTCCTGAGGGCAAGGACATGTCTGACACTTTTTTTTCTTTTTTTTGGTACAGGGGATCGAATGTCTGATACTTTTGCTCTGCTAAGTTCCCAGTATCTAGTTCATAGGAAATGCTCTATAAACACTCGCTGAATAAATGTACAGATGAAAAGGACTTTTCCTAGGTTAGGCAGGTATCTATACTGAGCTGCATTGTTCTCACACAGTGCTGAGGACAGAAAATAACAGGTCTTCTTCCCTCACAGTCCCTAGTTTAGGGACAAAAGCACAATGAAACTAGGTGTGGGGATGCATTCCTGAAATCCCAGCACTCTGGGAGGCTGAGGCATGAGGACTACAAGTTCAAGCCCAGACTTAGACAACTTAGTGAAGCAGTAAGACCTTTATCTCAAAATTTAAAAAAAAAAAAAAAATTTAAAGGGATGGGGATGTAGTTCATTGCAAAAGGCCTTGAGTTCAATTTCTGGTACCAAAAAGGCAAAGTGAATTCAGGAATCTTTTCAGAGAGAATAGCTTGTTCCCAGGGTCTTTAACATCCTTGCAATAATTCTAGCTATGGAAAAGACCCAAGTGGGTATAGACCATCTGATTCTGATACCTTTAGCATTTACATCCACAGATGCCTGAGGAGGCGAGAAGGTCTCTATGGACCCCGTACTCCCAACTTGGCAGCGCAAAAGAATTCGCCAATTTTACAGATTAACAGGAGTGCTTCAGGTGAAAAGCCAATCAGCATGTTACCTTGGATATAAAATTACTGATTTGTGCCAGATGCATTTAGATATCATAAAACTATTAGCAATACTCAAGGGGGCCATACTTCCAGGCAGGCCAGTCCCACTCTATAAATTGCAATTTGTTTCAAAACAGAAGGGTCCTGCATCACACCCTCTCGGCAGACTACATTTCCTTGGGCTAGGTTTTGCTTCTACTGGCTTCTCTAACACAGCATTAAAGTAAAAATTCCCATAATGGACCCTGGTCTTTGTGAAAATGGCTTTAAAGTAAATACTTGGTAGAGAGAAAAGCAGGCATCACACCCAAAGTTGCTAAGAACCTCTGTGTATGATTGTATCTGCTTAAGTATATGGCTGAAGAAATCTATTAAGCTGGAGGAGGGCAACTATCTTTCGGATGTTATAAAGAAACTGCCTGTAAATGAAATCATAGCTGAAATTGCAGCACGATGTTATATAACTTCTTAAAAGAGTCATCCTGCGTCTTCTTCATGGGACCAAACCTCCTCCCTAATTTCATTCGGAGCCTATTTATTTTCTTTCTTCAAAAGGAAAAAAAAAAGCCTTTTAGGCAAAAATTACAATGCAGTGGCAGAGAGGTATGAATAGCATCACTACCCACCTGGTTTAATTTCTTTTTTCTGCTTGCATCTCTTCAAATTTTCTACTCTTGATTCATCAATGTGGAATTCTAAGGAACCAGAAGAAAATCAGAGATCAGAGCCAGTCATACTTTGCATTGTAAACCGAAACAATCTTTTGGGAGAACAAGTTGACACTATCTGAGAACATATTAAGCACGTACATCCTCTGAGTCAGCCCAACGTTTAGGAATTTATATCATGGATTATACTCATGTAAGTGAAAGGACAATTAGGGAAATATACTGTGTAGCCTCAAAAATGGGGGCAATGGGGCTGGGGATTTAGCTCAGTGGTTCCGCTGCTATTATAAGTTCAAGGCCAACCTGAACTACATAGAGACACCTGCCTCAAAACAAAAAACAAAACAAAAAACACAGGATAGCCAGGCGCATGGTGGTGCATGCCTGTAATCCTGGCACTCGGGAGGCTGAGGCAGGAGGATTGCTGTGAGTTTGAGACCAGCCTGGGCTACACAGTGAGTTCCAGGTCAGTCTCAACTACATAGTAAGACCCTGTCTCAAAAAATCAAAAACAAAAACAAAATGGGGGAAATGACGTAAACGTCTATTAATAGGGAAAGAGTTAAACTGTACAGCTGCTTCAAAGTATGAAGATTTCATTTACTGACATGGAAAAATGTACATGCTTGGTGTTTAAAAAGCATACTGTCAGCCGGGTGTGAATGTCTGTCATTCCAGCACTCTGGGAGGCTGAGGCAGGAGGCCATCAAGTTTGAATGAAGCCCAGGCAATTTGGTGATTTAGTGAGACTCTGTCTCAAAATAAAAATTCAAAAAGAGCTGGGGATGTAGCTCAGTGCTACATCCTTAGTACTGGGCTCATTCCTTAGTACTTCTGGGGAAAAAAAGTATATCATAAAGTTGCGTACATTATTGTTTGAATAAAGGTAGTAACATGATTGTTTATTCTCATTAAAAAGCACATTTATAAACATATTCATTTAAAAATTTAAAGTACACATAGAAAAAGGCAAACAGCAAATGATAAGAATGGTTTTCTTTGGGCTGGGGATTTGGCTCAGTGCTTCTGCTGTCTGCCTCGTAGGCACAAGATTCCAAGTTCGATCTCTGGTACCAAAAAAAAAAAAGAAAAAGAAAAAGAAAAGAATGGTTCTCTTTGAGACTCAAATTGTAGAAAAAGGAAAGAAAAGATTTTGTAATTGCCTATTTTGGCTTTGATTGAAAACATTTGAGGAGGTACGTATAACTTTCATAACTATCAAACAGTGTCTACATAAAACTTCATATCAGGTTAAAATATCAAGATCAAAGGAAAAAAATCACTTTCAAACACAGACTAAGCAAGTTTACCATTTACTGACTCGAGGGACAATCTCTAAAAGAAAGGAAATTGGACTGGGCTGAGGATGTAACTTAGGGGTAGTCTGCTTGTTTAGCACATACAAGGCCCTGAATTTAATTCCCAGCATGGCCGAAAAAGGAGGAGGAAGGAAACTAAATATAGGATATAAGTGAGATTTTATAATGGATAGTGAGCAAAGAAATGAATAAGCATATTGGTAGATTTTTTTAAAGTAAGGCAAAGCTAATGGGTGATAAAAAACAATTATAACAGATTAATTATTTGATAATAACATAAAGGAGGAAAGAGAGATCAGATCTCGGATGAAGCTGGGCATGGCTGCACACACCTGTAATCCCAGCTGTTTGGGAGGCTGAGGCCAGCCTGCAAAACTAAGTAAAATCCTGTCACAAAATACAAAGGGCCGAAGATACAATTCAGGGTAGAACACTTGCCTAGCATGTACGAGGTTCTGGATTCAATCATCAGTACCATGGATTAAAAAAACAACCTGTTTAAGTTCCTTGATGATTCGGGAAAAACATACAAATATTGCTTTACTTTAAATAATATGTCCATGAGCTGGACATGGTAGCACATGCCTGTAATCCCAGCACTTGGGAGGCTGAGGCAGGAGGATTGCTGAGTTCGAGACCAGCCTGGGCTACACAGTGAGTTCCAGGTCAGTCTCAACAACATAGTGAGACCCTGTCTCATAAAACAAAACAAAACAAAACAAAACAAATAAATAATATGTCCATGATACATATTATAATAGTAAAGATTAAGAACAAAAAGTAGAAATAGGGCCGGGGATTAGCTTAGTGGTTCTACTGCCTGCCTCACAAGTACAAGGTCCCAAGTTTGATCCCTGGTACCAAAAAAATAATAATAATAATAATAAAGTAGAAATAGAATGCGTAAGTGCCAAATCAGTACATTCCTGTGTAGAATAGAATAATAATCAAGGCTGGGGATGTAGCTCAATGGCAGAGCACTTGCCTAGCATGCACAGGCCCTATGTTTGATCCCCAGGACCACAAAATGTCAATCTTTCCCAAATTACTACATAATTTCAATTAGGTTTCCACAAAATACCAATAAAATTTTTGGAAGAAGGAATGAATTAAATTATGCTTTAAAGTTCATAAGGAATAATAAATATCCATGAAACCTGGCCAAGAAATAGTCAAGAAAATTATGAAAAATGGAGGATTTATCTTCTGAGATGAAAAAAAACCTACTATAAAGATAAAATAAAAAGATATGAGCCGGGTGTGGTGGTGCATGCTTTTAATCCCAGCATTCAGAAGGCTGAGGCAGGAGGATCGCTGTGAGTTTGAGACCAGTCTGGGCTACATAGTGAGTGCCAGGTCAGTCTCAACTATACAGTGAGGCCCTGTCTCAAAAAAAGAAAAACAACCCCCAAAAGATATGGTATTAAAAACAGGTGAAGGAAATTCACAGAAGAGAAAATGAAGTGGCCAATTATATATGAAACACATTGACTCTTACCAATAGTGAATAGTACACAGAGTAAACGACTATGAGATACCATTCTTCCCCATCAGCCTTGCCACAAAATAAAACAACAGAGATAGAAACAAGAAGGAGAGGAGACAGGAAGGAGAGAATATCTAATATTGGTAAAGATTTGGGGAACTAGAAGTGCTCATACATTGCTGAAGTGTAAATTACTACAACATCTTGTAAAGTAGGATGGTGTTATTTATTACAATGTCAAATACAAATACCCTTTGACTCAGCAATACTGTTTTTGAAATGTAATCTACAGAAATAAAAGCTCCAATAGAGTAGGATGTGCATATAAGAATATTTAATGCAACAATATTTTTAGTGAAAAAAAGTATCTTAGTCCATTTTCTGCTACTGTAGCAGCATTCCAGAGACTGGATAATTTCTAAAGAAATGAAATTTATTTTGGCTCATGGTTTTGAAGATCCAAAGCATACCACCATTGTCGCATGGCTTCTGGTAAGGTCCTGCTGATGGTGAATGGAAGGGACGATGAATAGAGGGAGGGGACAAAGGAGCTGCCCTGCTTTAACAAGGGAGGCAGAAAGAAAGCTAACAGATCCCACTAGAACCCAGCCTGGAGGAAGACATGAACACTGCTCAAAGGCTCCACCTCCCAACACTGTTGCATTGGCAACCAAATTCTGGCATGAGTTTCAGCAGAGACAAACCACAGCATCTAAGTCACATAAATACCTGTCAAAGGAGAAATGGCTGAATATATTGTGGTACTTCCAGATCTACAGGCCTGATACTATTTAAGAATTAGAGCTATACCTACTAGTGATATATTATTTACTGGGAAAAATAAATTGCAACGTAACTGATAAAGTATGATTCCATTATGACAAAACAACCACATACACAATTAAACCATATATCCACTTTAGTTTTTTGTTGTTGTTGCTGTTGTTTTGTTGGGTTTTTTTATTTTTTTATTTTTTGGTACCAGGGATTGAACTTGGGACCTTGTGCTTGCCAGGCAAGCAGCAGAACTACTGAGCTAAATCCCCGGCCTCCACATACTGACTTTAAAAGGAGTTTGGGCTGAGCACTGTGGCACATGCCTATAATCTTAGCAGGAGGCTGAGACAGGGGGATCACTGCAAGTTCAAGGCCAGCCTCAGCTACATAGTTCAAGACCAGCCTAGGGCTGGGGATTTGGCTCAGTGATTCCACCCACTGCCTGCCTCACAAGCACAAGAGCCCAAGTTCAATCCCTGGTACCAAAAATAAATAAACAAATAAAAATAAAGACCAGAAGACCAGCCTGAACTACATAGGGAGACTCTATCTCAAAAAAAAAAAAAAACCCACAACAATAAATGAATGAATCAATCAATGAATGAGTGAGAAAGCTTGGGAAAGATTGTGGAAGGATATTCACTAAATTGGTGATGGCAGTTACCTCAGGAAGACAGAAATGGGGGTGTCAGGGTAAGGAGATTATAACTTTTTCTTTAAACATCTTCAAATTGTTTAGTTAGGAGTATGAGGTTCACATAGGGGGAAAATTAATAAATAATGAACACATTAGAGCAGATAAAGAATACTGCTAAAATGCTACTGTTACCTATGTATCTTCATATGGGATATTAAATCACATTGTCACTTTTTTTTATCAAAATAGGTCAGCCGGGCTTGGTGGTACACACCTGTAATCCCAGCACTCGGGAGGCTGAGGCAGGAGGATCACTGTGAGTTCAAGACCAGCCTGGGCTACATAGTGAGTTCCAGTTCAGTCTCAACTACATAGTGAGACCCTGTCTCAAAAAACAAAAACAAACAAACAAACAAACAAAAAAGAATTACCTGGAAGGTCCTCTGCTCTCCCAATAGAAGGCTTTCCTTTCATTTCATTGATAATAAATAATGCATTGAAGTAATACCATCCTTTTCTACAAACCTTCAGATTGTATAAAAGTATAGTTTATGGCAGCCACCTCACTCCTTTCCAATCCATTCTCCAACAGCAAGAATCCCCCACGAAGGCCCACTGAACACCTTGCCTGGTACCAATATATTTTAGGTGCTCAACAAAAACCAGCTGAACATATAACAATTTTACTGAAGTAAACTTAAGCCTGGGCTCAAATGCTACTGCTCTTCTTTCTTAGGCTTTCCATGGCTCTCTGTGCCTCTCTGGGGCACATTATCATGGTTAGAGTTATCTGAGTCTCCCCACCACCACCCCATGAGACTGTGGGCAATGAAGTCTTATTTACCTTGATATTCCTCACAGAACCTTGTATTAGACCTAACACAAAATTTTCTTAACAGCTGAAGAATTCATGCACAGTGCAGACAAGTACAAACGGAGGAAACAGCCCGCAACCAATCACAAGTGGCTGTCCCTCCTGCTTAATGGACCACAGCACAGGACACCAGCACCTTTGTGATACTCAAATATCACAGCTGAGACTGCCCAGGAAGAAATTAAGATTAGCACTAAGCTTGAAGTTCAGGGACAATGTGTGGGTGAGAGGATGGCAGAGACAACCAGAGAAGTGAAATCACTGGGTGGTGCTTTAAGTATGTTTTTCTGTATTGTCTAGCTTTTCTTCCTTGAACATATTCTAATTTTGTAAGCAGGAAAAATCCCCATAATAGATGTTATAAAAACAAACCAACAGAAAATCCAGTGGGGATTTTAGACGACAAAATCATCCATCCCTGTTTCTTTACTACAGTTTGAGGCTCTTAATCCTGGTCCCTCCCAGGTAAAGCCCCTGTATTTTGTGAGGAAGAATTCTCTCCATTCCTCTGAGGCACAGGGTACAGGAAGGTGCTAGGAGTGAGTGCTTCCCCCAATGCAGAAGCTGGCTCTCCCAGTGCAAATGCTGGCGAGCTCAGAGCCTCAGGAGCTGCAGAAGAGCGTAGGAGTAATGAACGAGCATGACATCAGGGCCTCACTAGGTGTGATACACTGCCTGGCATTCTGTAGTTCCTCTGCATGTTTCTCTTGTACAACGTTTCACATGCCACAGTAATCATTCTCTCATCTGTCACCTCCCCTGATGCACAGAGAACATCACAAGACCAGTGGCTGCTTCTTTTTAATCACGCCGATCCTATAATCCAGTGATTAGTATGAGAAGGCTCTCAATACATATTTGAACCCATATACAAGGCAAGTGCTCTACCACTGATCTGTATCACAAGCCCTCAATACATATCCACTGAATGATAAGAGACCACACCTACAAAGTGCTACACATAACTGACCCAGGACTCTGGGACATAATAAAAATGCATCAGCCACGAGATACTTCATTTCCTTTGTGGCTTGAAGATCCATTATTCAGTCCTAAAGAATCAAGTTGGAGCCAGTAAGTTCTTGGAAGACTAACAAGGCTTCTTTTACTGTTGAGATATGTAGGCTTTCTCCGATAAGAATGGAGGCATTTTAATCTGCAATTCAGAATCACTTGGCATTATAACTGACTGCAGCTTCCAATGAAACTGCTCCTTGAAAGAGTGATGCTCAAAATCTTCATATAGCACTGCTGAAGGATTTCCAGGAGCTAGTGAGCTCAGCTTTGGGCCATATTAATAACCTGTTTCCAAGGTATAGTGTGCGGCATGCTGCCACTTTCCATTAGAAAATGGCAGGGCCCACAAGTTTCAAGTACCATCTTTGCAGAGCTTCATTCACCTCCTCACTCCCACCTTAGGAAGACAGGTGACTTTTGTTATCCAGCATCTCAAGATCTTGGGGCACTGGGGTGAGAAGGAGGCGCCAGCTTCCTAATGTCCAGGCCTGTGGTTGCTTCTGTGGCAGCAAAAGTCTGTTTTCAGTGGTCTTGGTTACTGGGAGACTGCAGCTTTAAAATATGCCAAGGGGCTGTGTGAACTCTCCTGCTAATCATGACCTTAACTTAGACAAACAGTTTCTAAATAACACATCTTTCTGAGGATTAGGGTTTCTTTTGGCTTTAAAGATAAAGAGTCCTCGGTGTGGTTCACCGGTAAATGCTGGGTTCAATAGCCAGTACCACCAAGAAGTAAAAAAAAAAAAAAGAAAGGAAGGAAAGAAAAAAGAAAGAAGGCAGACAGAGAGGGATGGGGCAGGGGAGAAAGAGAAAGGAAAACAAAACAAAAAGGAGAGGAAAGATAGATAATAGATAGCCCTAACATTAACACTGTGGCTTTAGCCATCTTTTCCTTGCAACAGTGGCAGTTTAAGTCAAAAGAAGGCAGGTCAGGGAGGTTAAAGAAGTGATCCCCTCCCCTCTTTATCCCTCTGTCATACTAAACTAGAAACTAGGAAAGTTAGGTTTTAAGTTAAAAGTGAGTTGTGTCTGCTTTGTGCCAGGCTTTCTCTTAGGCCCTGTCACAGGGACAAGCTAAACAGACACAAAGACAGGGTGCCTGCGGTCTAATGGAGACCTGGAATTGAAATTATGCCAATATGTAAGTGTAGTTCAGGTAAACTCTAAAAAGGAGTTCAGGCTAATATGGGAACATGGAATGGACATTTACTCCCAGTTAATGGAGTTAAGGAATGATAATCTTGATCATCTAATGTGATGTAAAAGGTTCAATATACACAGGACCTACAACTTAAGAGGGGATCAAAAATGTTAATTCTTTTTCCCTCTCTCCCTATCTTAGTTACTTTTCTCATAGCTAAAACAAAAAACTTGCTACCTAAAGTTTTTAAGGTAAGGGAGGAAAAGTTTATTGTAGTTCACAGTTTGTAGAGATTTAAGTTCATAGTTGGCTGGTTCCAAGGTACGGTGGCATGGCAAAGGGGCATCAAAGAGGAGAAGGCAGCAAAGCAGCAAAACAGCAAAGTAGTAAGCAAGCAAGTGGTAAGTGGCAAGTGTCGACAGCAGCATCCTTTTCTGTCCCTTAAATCCTATCCAGAGTGTAGCACTCACACCCAGGGCGCGACATCCTTAATTCTATCGTTGTACCACGACTCAATCCCAGCATCATATCCTTGATTCCAGCATCTCATACCCTAGACCCAACCACCTCCAAAAATCCCCACCTATGACCGCATGAAGCTTTGGGGGTATAGCTAGATACAAACCATAATGTGTGCGTGCTTGTGTGTGCATGTGTGTACACACACATATACAACCACTGAGTCTTTTTCCCCTTCTACCTTCAGGAACACTGAGCCTGGAAAAAAATGTTAAAATTCACAGGCTGAGGCTGTAGCTCAGTGGTTCCATGCCTGTTTGGCACATGCAAGGTCCTGAGTTCAATTCCTGGTATTGGAATAAAAAGAAATTCACAAGTAACTTAATACTGACTGTTTTATGTCCCTTTTAACTGTCCTACTGGTACCAGTTTTTAGCCACTCCAGGATACTAAAAACCTCGGCCCATAAAGATCCTGCTCAAAGAGAAAGAAATACAGATGATTCATCAAGTTGAATTTGGAAATATCAAGATTATCTAAATTTGCCCTCTCATTTTAGTACCAACGAGGAAACTGAGATCCAGAGAGTATGAAACACTTGCCCCAGGGTGACACAATTTCCATGGGAGATCATTCTACTATACGGTAGCTTTTTCTTCTTTCTTTCTTTTTTTTTTTTTT